GTTTGTGAGCCTTTTTGTTTTCTTTGTTCAATTTATTTCTATTTTTATGCCTTTGTGGTCTGAGAAGTTGGTTGGTAGAATTTCAATCTTTTTGAATTTACTGAGGCTCTTTTTGTGGCCTAGTATGTGGTGTATTCTGGAAAATGTTCCATGTGCACTTGAGAAGAATGTGTATCCTGCTGCTTTTGGGTGTAGAGTTCTGTAGATGTCTTTTAAGTCCATCCGTTCTAGTGTCTTGTTCAGTGCCTCTGTGTCCTTACTTATTTTCTGTCTGGTGGATCTGTCCTTTGGAGTGAGTGGTGTGTTGAAGTCTCTTAGAACGAATACATTGCATTCTATTTCCTCCTTTAATTCTGTTAGTATTTGTTTCACATATGTTGGTGCTCCTGTATTGCATGCATATATATTTATAATGGTTATATCCTCTTGTTGGACTGACCCCTTTATCATTATGTAATGTCCTTCTTTGTCTCTTGTTACTTTCTTTGTTTTGAAGTCTATTTTGTCTGATACAAGTACTGCAACATCTGTATTTTTCTCCCTATTGTTTGCATGAAATATCTTTTTTCATCCCTTCACTTTTAGTCTGTTTATGTCTTTGGGTTTGAGGTGAGTCCCTTGTAAGCAGCATATAGATGGGTCTTGCTTTTTTATCCATTCTATTACTCTGTGTCATTTGATTGGTGCATTCAGTCCATTTACATTTAGGGTGATTATTGAAAGATATGTACTTATGGCCATTGCAGGCTTTAGATTTGTGGTTACCAAAGGTTCAAGGGTAGCTTCTTTACTATCTAACCATCTAACTTAACTCTCTTAAAATGAATATTTTTCTAAGGTGAGAGAAATAACAGAATGCTTACATGCTAATGAAAATATTTTAACAGAGAGTGAAATATGATGTAGGAAATTGAGGGGAGAATATCTTAGGTAATATGTTTGAGTAGGCAAATGGAAATAGGATCTATGATACAAATGAAAATGTGGCTTATATTGGAGAATGGGTAGTTCATCCATAGTGGTAGGTATAAAGCTGAGTTAAGTGGGTAAAGATATCGGTTGGTAACTATTTGTGGTGATTGGAAGGCTGTGGACGTTCTTTTCATCTTGCTTCAATTTTCTCAGTGAATCAGGAAGCGAGCTCATTACTGAGCACAAAAACTAAAGAAGTACTGGGACTCTGATGAGAAAAGAAAATGCATGAAATAATTTTCTGGGAGAGAAAATAAACCAGGGAGCATTGCCTGGGAGCATTAAGGGCTCAATTTTACTAAAAATAAGCAAACAAAAACTATATGTGTAGATATATATGTAATACACATGCACACACACATACATACATATATACACACAATTAACCCTTGAACAACATGGATTTGAACTGCACAGGTCCACTTAGACATGAATTTTTTTCAATAATTATATTGGAACATTTTTTGGAGATTTGCAACAATTTGAAAAAACACTTTCTTTTCTCTAGCTTACTCTATTCTAAGAATACAGTATATAATACATATATAAAGTATGTCAATCAACTATTTAATCAATAAGGCTTCTGGTCAACAGTAAGCTATTGGTAGGTAAGTTTTTGGGGAGTCAAAAGTTATTCATGGATTTTTGACTGCACAGGGTCAGCACTCCTAACCCCTGCATTGTTCAAGGGTCAACTGCATATATATCTTCTTACACATAATATAAACTTTATATATGTATGTAAGATGTGTGTACATAATATACACATAAGCACAGAAAAGGATCTAGAAATATACATACCAAATTAATAGTGCTTATCACTGGAGATTTGATATATATATATACATATGTATATGTGGGGTGAAATGGGAGTGGAATAAACTGTATTATTTGGATTTTTAATCAGCATGTATTATTTTTGCAATTAAATAATGTATCTTGCATATTAATAAATAGCATGAGAGGACAGTTTAGAATACTGCTCAAGAGCCATAGCACCCCGACTAGGCAAAGCCTATGTCCTAAATAACTATCAACTCTGTAGTGAGGCTGCCCATCAATGAGACACACAGAGAAAAGCTAAGGCATCACCCACCTTGAATACTTCAGAGAAAAAGCCAGACCCTATTTTTTCACAGGTGAAATCATCTAAACGCGTCAGTCTGGAAAAGGCACTTATAAGAGCTCGATACGAAGATGGCCAAACTCTTCCCATCTGGATCACATTCCCATCTCCTCCACCACTTCCTTCAAAATCTTCAAGACGCTCTCCACGTGGAGGAAATCCTGCAATGGAATTCCGTTTGCTCCGATCCATAGTCTCAATAATTACTTGTTTCTTTTAAGAAGGAACTCCACACATAAAAATTTTGTTGAGTTTCACTTCTCTTCCAGTTTGACACTAAAAAAGAGATCAAAAATATATTTCATTAAAACCATTAATGAATAAATATGCAAACCAATGAACTATCAATGTAATAGTTACTCTTTCACATTCTAGCTAATTTTCAGATCTAAAAAAACACTTTATGCCTTTACCTTCAAAAAATACTGATATATTTGAACCCCAAGATGTAGTCAGTCTTTAACATGAGTAGAATATAATGAAAAACAACAATTAAATGCTAAAAAACAAAATTAACAATGATAATTATCTATCCTTCATTGAACACCTATCTAGGAACCACAGTATAAGAGCTGTACATATGTCATGTCATTTTGATTCTCAAACAACCCATGATATAAGGATTCTTATGTTCATTTTGCAGAGGTCAAGTAATCATACAGTCACTAAATGGCAGACACAATTAAAATGCAAAACTGATTCAAAAGCCTATGCTCCTACCAAAGCCTTTCTTAGTCTCATGTAATTTTCTCTTTATTTGAAAGATTAACTCCAAATATATAAAACAAAGATGATGATTTTATATTATAAATATAAAATTATATAATTTTTTGAAAGATTAACTCCAAATATATAAAACAAAGATGATGATTTTATATTATAAATATAAAATTATATAATTTTAAGAGAAATTATATAAAATTATATAATTTTAAGAGAAAACTATATCCAAAAGCAATTTTAAAATTCACTGTTGATTAAATAGCTCAGTCCAGCAGAAGCTAACTGCAGAAGGGCTCCACCCTATCTCATACATAACTAAGAATTTTTGTTATGTACCAGAAGAACAAGCCCATTTTTTCTTTTAGCCTGTCTCCCTACTTCTTCTTTGCTCCATGAGAATTAATCGTAAGTATCCTATGCAAAATACAACATGTGACTCTTCAATTAGTGAAATGCTTTCATAAATGTGGTGAATACCTTAACCCAGACAACCTCTACCATCTCCAACCATGGAAATAGAGGCAGGGTAACCCTGCCTTCCTAGCCATAGCCAGAAGTCAGGGGAACTTTACCCCGTATGGACCAATCACAGTTACATTCATGGATATTTGGAATTGAAATTAAAATAGTCCAGCCTCAGTCTAGCTGCTTTCTAAAATGGAAGCCGTGTAAACCTAGAAGCTGTTGGCCATGGTCATTTCCTACCACACAGACTGGAAGACAGTAAAAGCCAAGAGATTGAGGCATATTTGCAAAGAAAGAAAGAGAACTTCTTGATTTTCCTAATGTGCTCTAGTCCCCAATTCCTGGGACCTAACTACATCCAGGCTTAATGTTCCATGAGATATCCATGTATCTTTAACATAAATTACTTTTTCTTAAGCTAGCTGCACCAGTCTTCACAGAAACAATAATCCAAATTCCCAAAAATAAAACATTTAAGCACTTACACTAAACTTCTGCCAAAAAGTGCCAACAGATCACCAGATCAAAAATTGAGGCTTATAAAACCAAATTTTTAAAAATATTAAAGACAGAAGAGACCATAAAGTTCAGTCATTTTTATTAAAATAGTATCATACTGTAGGGATGGGTCTACATTTTTTGTTTTTTATGGTGGGTTTTGTTTTTTGGTAAGTTTTTCAATTTTTTTTTTTAATTAAATTTTAGTGATACAACTCTACAGCTTTTTTCTTTTCCCACACTCAGTATTGCTTTTGAAATACATCCACATTGCTAGATAGAGTTCATTCATTTTAAGTCCTGTATATTCATTGTTCAATTAATTAATCTAGTTATCCATTGCTCCTACAGACTAAATGTGAGTTGTTTCCTTTCCCCCCTTATTACACACGCTCAGGTCTCCCATGCTTACATGTGAAAGTTTCTATAAGCATATACCTTTTTTTTTTTGGTATCATTAATATACAATAACATGAACAACATTGTGGTTACCAGATCCCCCACCATTTCAAGTTCCCACCACATACCCCACTACAGTCACTGTCCATGAGTGTAGTAAGATGCTACAGATTCACTACTTGTCTTCTCTGTGCTATACTTCCTTCCCCGTGCTCCCCCAACTACGTTATGTGTGCTATTCATAATGCCCCTTATTCTCTTTCTCCCTCTCTTCCCACCCACCATCCCCAGTCCCTTTCCCTTTGGTAACTGTTAGTCCATTCTTAGACTCTGTGATTCTGCTGTTGTTCTGTTCCTTCAGTTTTTGCTTTGTTCTTATACTCCACAGATGAATGTAATTATTTGGTACTTGTCTTTCTCTGCTTGGCTTATTTCACTGAGCATAATACCCCCTAAATCCATCCATATTGTTGCAAATGGTAAGATTTGTTTTCTTCTTATGGTTGAATAATATTCCATTGTGTATATATACCACATCCTCTTTATCCAATTATCTACTGATGGACACTTAGGTTGTTTCCATTTCTTGGCTATTGTAAATAGTGCTGCAATAAACATAGAGGTGCATATATCTTTTTTAATCTGGGATTCTTCATTCTTAGAGTAAATTCCTAAGAGTGGAATTCCTGGGTCAAATGGTGTTTCTATTTTTAGTTTTTTGAGAAACCTCCATACTGCTTTCCACAATGGTTGAACTATTTTACATTCCCACCAGTAGTGTAGAAGGGTTCCCCTTTGTCTTGCCAATGGATTTCAGCCCCGGGAAAGTCCGCTATGGATTTAGTGTGACCAAAGAAAATGACAGCAAAATGTTCTTGGGGTGAAAGGGGTATACCCAATTTTATTTCCAGGTGGCAGGTCCGTCACTAAAATCCTGTTCACTCAGTGTAAGTCTGTGTGCAGCAAGCTGGTCTCTGCCTCTGGGCCCCTCTGTCTGCAGAGCTGTCCTCTGGGCCCCTCTGTCCTCACAGCCATCCTCTCAGCTCCTCTGTCCGCAAGCCATCCCGCACAGCCATCCTCCAGGCCTCTCTGCACAGCCATCCTGCACAGCCATCCTCCGGGCCTCTCTGCACAGTTGTCCAGCACAGCCGTCCTCTGGGCCTCTGTCCTCAGCACTGCCACCACTCCAGCCTCTGCTTTGCTCTCCTGCAGCCTTGCAGCCCTGCCAGTGTCGCACCCAGAGCACTGGGAGGAGCTCTTAGAGTCAACAGCCATGTATTGCCCACAGGTGTGCAGTGAGCTATTCAACCACAGCCAGGTGAGAATCCTGGCCACAGGAACTATCATTTTATCCACATTCCACCCCTCCAGGATTCTCTCCTTGCAATCTATGTGCCCTTCGTCCTCTGCAATGGTCCCTGTGCATGCAAGCTGGAACACTTCTCCAGCCTCTCCAGCAAACAGCTTGCAGACACACAGGCCGGACTCATCTCTGACCTCTGCCTCCTTGGTCTTAATGGCTGGAACTGCTGCTCTGGTTTCATTTGCTGCCATAGCTCCAGTATGATCCTATTTGGCTTCCCATCTAATTTTTTTCCATCTACTCCTGCCCGTATCAAGTCAACCCACATCTGGGTCCTCATAACCCTCACAGGGCCCCTCAAATTCCTCCTGTGAGTAACAGGTCTTATTTCTTTCTGCGTTCTCATTGCTTCAGCTGCTGTACTCACTGCTTCAGGTAGGTGACAAAATGTCACCTTGCATTTAGTAATGGCTGCCTCAAGTCGGGCTGCACTGTCAGGGAAGACACCTTTCCCATCTCTGATCCCGACAGAAGAATTTCATCCACCCCTAAGTCCCACAGCCACTGGTTCAGCCTGAGTATAGGGGTGGACCATAGAGTGCTCCATGACCTGGGAGGGGGCTGCTCCTCTCCTTGGAGAACTTTCAGCTGCTGGGTCTTTATTTTCTTTACAACCACTGGGCATGCTTTCAATACAGGAGGTGCCAGTGCCTCCGGCACCACCCCTTCATCCTTCCCCAGCTCCTCCATTTCTGGGGCTGACGGCACGTTTCTCTCCATTCCCCCAAGTGCCTCCTCTGCTACAGTGCCTCACAACAATACCAGCTCAGTCTTCAGAAGGTCTCTTACCTTCAGCTCAATGCTTTGCAGCTGACGTTCTCATGCCACCTCCACCTGTGCTTCCCTCAGGAGTTTGCCTTTTACCTTGATGGCCTCTTCCTCTTTCAGAACACCTGGCAGCACTGTCATCTCATCTCCAATGGCACCTTGCTGCCGGTGCTCTCGTGCCGCCTCCTCCTGCATCAAGGCCATCTCCTTCCTCAGGGAATCCACAGAAGTTTGCAGCTCACGTTCTTGTGCAGACATTTCTTGAGTCTCCTCTGTAGACCTTTTTAATACTGTGAGAAACAGCCAACCCACAGTCCCCACTGCCTCCCCAGCACTCTGCTTCTCAAAGGATCTGCTTACTATACCAAGAGCCACCCCTACTGCCTCAGGTGTCACCTCCATTTGCCTCCAGTCCTGGGGTGGGGCCCAGTCCTCTAGGAGGCAAGCCACCTCAGACCACATACCCATTGGGGGACAATCCACTGTCTCCCCATTCACAGGGGCAGCCCGCTGAAGCACCCCTCCCATAAGGGCAGCCTGTCTTTTTCCTTGGTCAACAATGAATCCTGCCAACTATGCCATTTGTCTTGCCAATGGGTTTCAGCCCTGGGCAAATCTGCTATGGATTCAGTGTGACCAAAGAAAATGACAGCAAAACATTCTTGGGGTGAAAGGGGTACACCCAACTTTATTTCCAGGTGGCAGGTCAGTCACTAAAATCCCATTCACTCAGAGCAAGTCTGTGTGCAGCAAGCCAGTCTCTGCCTCTGGGTCCCTCTGTCCTCAGAGCCGTCCTCTGGGCTCCTCTGTCTGCACAGCCATCCTCTGGGCCTCTGTCCTCAGCACTGCCACCACTCCAGCCTCTGCTCTGCTCTCCTGCAGCCTTGCAGCCCTTCCACAGTGTTGTGCCCAGAGCACTGGGCAGAGCTCTTTTTATAGAGTCAACAGCCATGTATTGCCCACAGGTGTGCAGTTAGCTAGTCAACCATGGCCAGGTGAGAATCCTGGTCACAGGAACTCTCATTTTATCCACACCCTTTCTCCACATCCTCACCAACAT